AAGCAATGACTCATTCCAGGACCTTGGAGAGGGAAGCGAAGTTGGAGATGGGACGGTAGTTTGAGAGCAAGAATATGTAGAGCCCCAAGATGCTACCTTGTGAAACATAAACCAGGTTAACCATAACAAAAACTCCACAGGGTGGAAATTCCACCTGATCTAGATTTACTCTATTAATGTAACATTTTCAAACTGAGAGAGTTTGGCAATTCTGGAATACAGCCATAATTTTGAAGCTGGTTTTCTGTGAGTTCTTTTAAGAACTACAGAAAAGCAACTCCAAAGTTAAGCCTCGATTGAACAATTTCTGCTGAATTTTTGGATATTTTGAAATGCTACGTTTTATAGAGTAAATCTATGTGCAGGTGGAATTTTTACCCCACATATTTCTTTGAAATAGCCATAGCAGGGCATTCCCTTTACATCTACCTGAAACACTGGCATTGTGCTAATAGCACAATCTTGTAAAAGAATACTAGTACTACTACTAATAATAATCCTTGCATTTGATATAGGACCTTATCCTATCATTGAAAAGGCTCAAATCACTTCAAAGAATATATTGTATAGTGAGTTGGCTGTATATTTTGTGGACGAAGCACGATAGCCAATTGCGCACAGCAGTGTCCCACGAATAGACCTGGATTGAGTGACCAAATTTTTTTCTTTTGGCGGGATTATTAACCCTGGAGAGCGATCTGCCAAGCTTTCCAACTAACAATCGGGTTCCTATTTACTGTTCATACCCTCTCTTGCCTCCTTCAAGTCCCATCTGAATACCTTCCTCTTCAATCATGCCTTCCTCCCCTTCTGACCCTAACTCCCAGCTTGAGTCCAAAACTCCTGATTGTCCAGGGCCCTGGGACATCTTTCCGATGTGAAGGGCGCTATACAAGTGTAATTTGTTGTTGTTGAAAGCCAAAGCCCTAACCTTTAGAGTGTTTCTTGTTGGACAAGCAGTGGGAAAGCTTACCAGGCAGTGCTGTAAATGGGAAGCTATGCCGTTTTAGGTGGTCAAACGCCAGGAGTACCCCAACGCACACTCTGGGGTCCCTAAGTCTTGGCTCTTGCCAACCTGCACCTAATACGGAACTAGGTAAGCAAGATGCATCCCTCCAGGGAGAGAATGCGCATCCCATTACAATTAACATCTCTGGAATTTCCATGTGTAGGTGGGATGCATGGAATTCTCAGTTTGGTTTGAATACTCTTAAGCATGGTGATGGTTTTCCACATGTGTCACCCAACTGATCAAACCAAAAGAAAATCTTGGTGAATGGTTATTGCTCAGTTTCTTATCATTGTCTGGCAAGTTCCCTGTTGCTTGTCCAGCTAGGTCCACTCTTATCGATTAGAGCTCTAGATTGCAGGGTGAACAGGAGCTTAGTGGGCAAAAAATTGTCCTCCTCGGACTGTTGTTGTCTTGATGGTCTAATTTCTGAACCAGGTGGGTTTAACCAGGAAGGGGTGAAGATCTCTCTTAAATCCTGCCAATGATCCAGGCTGGCTGGTCTGTCATCAGGGGTGCCCAGGAGTACTGTGAGCCCACCTGGTTGAGGAACAAGGCAATCACAACCAGTGTTGATGATTTCACCATTCCATTGCCCAGCATGTTACCTTGGAGCCAGTTCAGTTCCAAGGAAACCCTGCTTCTCTCCCCTGCCCACCTATCACCACCAAGAATGCAGTTTCACACAAATCTGCTAAAATCCAGTGCATAAGTCACATTTTCATAAAGATAAGAAATCTGAAACTGGGTGTAATTTAAGTAACGTGCAATCTTTTTCTGCTCAGTGTGACATTTGCACTCAAGGATTTGTAGGACGTTGGCAGATCTTGTCAATGGTTGGCTAAAATTGAGCAGAAAAGGGAATTATATGTGAAAATAAAAATTGCATCAAACAAAATGTGCCAGATTAAAAGAATCTTTCATACTGAAAACTGAATTTCTCCACAGTTGTTTATTTAATTATATACGGTTTCCAAAAATACCCCTAATTTGACTTATAAAATGAAACTGGGAGTTTATTTTTAAGTGAGATAAAGCTGAGTTGGCAAGGGCTAGAAATTAATTTCAATGGGATTGTACCCATTGAACTGAAACCTTTTTGAGTTTTATGTTTCCTCTCTCCTTCCCCCATCCACCCAGAAATAAGTGCGACATATAATTTTATTTTGAATATAACAATGCTTTTGCATAATATTTGTTTAGTAGGGTTGAGTTTTGCAATAATGTTGTTATAATAAAAACATAATCCGTGCATTTTATCTAGCTCCTTATTACATCATCAGTCTGAAAGTGTGGTAACTGGAGAATTTTATAGGTAATATATTAGCTACATATTTTACATATAATATATTAGATTATATATATATTATATATACTTTAGTATGTGAATGTGGCAGCCAATTAGTGCTCATCAATGTTCTACAAACAGCAATGGAGTGAATGACCAATTTTATCAGGAGGATTGCTGGTTGGGACACAGGGGAAAAACTCCCTTCACTTTTCAAATAGTAAAATACCGAAATTGTTTTAATTTGAATGCTTATGAGTTTAGTTTACAATGGAAAATGGTTTCCATTGTACTTCCACATTGAAAATTAATGTCTAAAAAACAATCACTTCACAGGAATATCCTATGAAATGCTTCAAGATGTCTCTACAGCTTGATAAGGTGCTGTGTCAAATGTAAGGATTATTATAATTTTAAAGCATTAAAACAAGACCTAAGCTGTATTAGGCTAAGTTTTGAGACTAGAATCATTCAAAGTTAGCAGGTAATAAGCCACTGTTTATACATAAAAATAACATAAAAATATAGAATATGGACATACAGAAACCCAGCCATTAATATATATAATATACTCATAAATGTTTTCAAAAAAACTCAAATCTAGAAATTAAATCAATAATTTAGTCTATGATTTGTGTAGGTTCTTTGTACAGTAATTGAGTGCACAAGATACAAGCCCCTTTGGTCAATTTACAGACTGAACTGGGGAAGTAATCTTCAATGGAATTATTTGGGCCAGAAATAGTAAAGTCATGCCAGTTTTCCACATAATGCTAAATAATAAAAATAAATGTTCTTGCTTGAGATTTTTTTCAATACTAAGTGAGTTTAATATTGTGCCGTAATCCCCATGCTTTGGTTGGTTTGTATAGATTGAGAGAGCGGGGGAGTGGGATTGATTTGTACAGCTCTTTACAAAGAGCCGGCACAGACATGATGGGCTGAATGGTCTCCTTCTGTGCTGTATAATTCTATGATTGCCTTTGTGATGTTGCCATGATCTGAATTGCTTGTGTTAGCATTGCATCCTTTTGCATCTCAGCTGTTGCTTCCTCAATAAAATCAATGAATGAATGTTCAGTCAAGCTCCAAATCAAACTCCAGCATGCACTTGATGCAATACATTCAATAATCCACAAGCTTTGCATAACCATGAACCATATACTATTCTATATTTGAACCTTTTATAACTTGCTTCACCTCCAATGTATTATCCACAACTTTGTTGACATACTGAAGATCTAAATCTATTTTTTCTTTAATAGAGTAACTGCGAAGAAAATCTATACACCGAGATAGCCACATGATAATGATGAACATACTGTTAGTAGAAATTAATTGTTTCTGGCACATTGAGTTAAAGCAGCTGGTGCTTTAATTTCTTTTGGAAAGCATATGAAAATAAACAGTATAAAAATATGTCGCTCTAATCTGGATTACTCATGTTTGATGCTTTCACTATCAATGGATATTTTTAAAATTGCATTGGTATGGCACTGAGAGAGAACAGGGAGATCCCATGTCAGAAACATATTAATTTACAGCATGGATGAAAGCCATTCGGCCCATCATTCTTTTGCTGGCTCTTTAAAGGAGCAATCTATCCCTTTGAAAGCTAATAGAGATTCTGCTACCGCACCTGGCAGAGCATTCCACTTCTCAACAATTCTGTCTAAGGAAATTCCTTCTAATCTTCCCCTTTGCATTTTTGATATTTTTCTAAATATTTTTTCTTTGATCAACCAATGGAAATTTATCCCCATCTTTTTCTTAACTTGTTGCTGTTGTTTCCCTGCCTGCAAAGTAACCGCTAACCAATTGCATGTGCATTTTGGAATGGAAACGGTTTGCTATTGTTAACTTTTTTTTTGCTTTTGTCCGATGTTTATAGAGCAGGGAAGACATACATGAGGAGTCCTGTAACTTAGTGGCTAGAGCACTTGCCTCACACGTGAGAGGATCCAGGTTCGATTCCTAGGCAGGGCAAAACCTTAGGCAAGTTTCCTTATTCCACACGCCTCTGTTATCTAGCAGTAAGTAGGAACCACGCTGTTAGTCGATTGGTGGATCGCTTTTTCAGGGATAATATATCCCTTCTAAATAAATAATAATAATTTAGTCACTCAATTCACGACTGTTTGTGGGATACTGCCATGCGCAATTGGCTGCTGCATTTCACTCACAAAATATACAGTCAATTCACCTTACAGTATAATAATCCTTGCATTGTTTATAACACCTTGTCATGTCTTTGAGATGTCCCAAAGCTCTTCGCAAAATATACTGTAAAGTGAATTGACTGTATATTTTGAGGCCGAAAATACATCGTAATTCCTCTAGTCTCTGCTCATAGGTTAAGCCACCCATCCCTGGTATCATCCTAGTAAATCTCCTCTGGACCTCTTTGCGTGTTCAGTTCTGGTCCGTCATGAGTTACCCACTCTCAGGTCCTGCGATGGTTGAGATTGATAGGGTTTGCCTGAATTAGAGAAAGAGGAAAAATCATCTAGGTTAACATTGTAGAAGAAATTAAATTATGATCAAAAGTACTACATTTCCTACGTTTGTTAGAAATTTATTTCAAGTACATTATCGAAAAAAGAAATCTTTACTATTTTCCACCCAGCAATTTGAATGTGCAATGTGTGTAGCTTCTTGATACGCTTCTGTTATATTATACATTAAATATTTTGTCATACACAGACCTTGGCTACTGACAAGATGATTCTCTGTTCATATCACTACGGAATCTTCATCATCACTTTTTTGAATTGCCTTTTGGGAGAATCGTTGACACTGAACCTCGAGGATCCAAATGTGTGCAGCCATTGGGAAAGGTAAGCTATGATTTATGTCTCTGTTAAATACTTTGGTGAATGAAGCAATTTAATAATTGTTGCATTTGATAATGACACCTTTCACATCAGGAGGACATCTCAAAGTGCTTCACATGATATACCAAAATGTATATGTAATCCCTCCTTCTAGCACTCTATCTCGCCCACTCTCTTTGTGTCTTTAACTCCCACTTCAAATTCTATCTTTTTGAACACACCTATGTCCCTCCCCCTTGTCCTCTACCCTCTTCCTTGCTTGGTGTCCAACTCCGTGCCTGTAAAGCGCTCTGAGAATCCCACTATATAAAGCAGGTTATTATTGTAAAGTGTAGTGTCTGTGTATTTTGCAGGCAAACACAGCAACTAATTTGTGCACAGCAATTTTCCACAAACAGCCATGAAGTGAATGATCAATTTTATCTGGGGGATTGTTGATGATGTTTATTATGGAGGGTGCGGGGTGGGGGAGAATGTGGCACTGGTGATAATTATGTGGAGTCCTGTAGCTCAGTGGTCAGAGAGACCTGGGTTTGATTCCTGAGAGGGTGAAACCTTGGGCAAGTTTCCTTACTCCACACGCCTGATGATAATCCCTCAAGAAAAAAATAATAAAATTGGTCATTTCAATCCACGACTGTTTGTGGGACACTGCTGTGCGCAATTGGCTGCTGCATTTCACCCACAAAATATACAGTCAATTCACTTTACAGTATATTCTGTGAAGTGCTTTGAGACGTCTAGAAGACGTGAAAAGTTCTATATCAAATGCAAGTATTATTATCACATTGATCAAACATGTAATCAAAGCAGTGAAAGCCTCTTAGACCTCAGGTGACCTTCTCCCCCCCAAAAGCCAGTGATAAATATTGACTGCTTTCAATATTGATCACAACCTTCTAGTTGGTTCCAAATCCCAGACAGTCCAGTGTCTTGGGACGTCCTCCTGATACGAAAGGCGCTATACAAATGTAATTTGTTGTTGTCTTAAAGTAAGTTTGATAGTATTCATGTCGCTGATCCCACAACAAAGAAGTGGCTCTTATGTGCAGCAGGCACACAATTGTGAGCTGGATGGTTGGGTCACATGGGCTCGTAACAAGTTCCTGGAATGTCCCGACACTGAACTAAGGCTAGAAGTGAAGTTCAGTGAACTTTGGAAGCAAAGGAAATAAGAAGAAATAAAGCACCTGCCAGGCCAGCTCCTCATAACAACAATCCTTGTGGCTGAGGACTTAGTCTTCTGCCATTGTGCCTTGTGCATTTGTCTCAATTACTCCAGCTGTTGCTGTCCACAGACAGGGCAAGTTCTGTGTTTGGTAATTATAGCCCAGTCTACTACCAGCTGCATTAAATACAGCGGAGAAACTGATGAATGGATTCTTTCCAACCCTGTTCTAACAACGTGGGTTTATTTCTCAAATCTGTTTCCATTTCCACCATTGCAATTCACCAAAGTGATGTGTTACCTCATATTCATCAGAAGTGGGCTGATCCCGGAAATACAAAGGGAGGGTGGGGGGAGGTGGTAGGAATAACACACTTGTCCTGAATTTTCCTCATCCTTTTAACCAAGTGTGACACTGTGGCTGTTTAGACTGTCTCAGTGGCACCAATGACTAGACTCAGAGAATGTTTGTGGTGAGTTGCTAAGCTGTACGTAGGTCTCGGGTTCCATTTTCACTCTGTGCTGAATTAGTTGACCTCAGCTGGGGTGGTAACAAGGCTGTTACAATTGGCCTTGGTGACTTGGCATTGGGAAGGGGAAATATATGAGACAAGTTTCCAAATGTTTGTTGCTGTAAGTAACTTCTGGAGGTACATGTGGGTTGGGACAGGATTGGGTTTAGCTGCAGTCTGTGGAAAAACAAACCTCACTGTCAAAGCTAACAAATGAATAATTATCACTTTGGAAGTGTCTGGCACCAGTAGAGACCAGTAAAAGGAAAACTCAGCTAATACAACTAATTTGTAATTTAACTATATATCCAAATCTTGTATATACCATTATTACAGCGACTGTACTTAATCCAACCATTTCCCAAGTGTAATCCATGAATTGTACCTGCATAGATAACCAATTCATGAATGGGTGTAATTTGGGAGGCCACTCAATTGAACCCGGATTAGTTGGAAATTGAAGTCTACCGCGCTGGGAATTGTACACATTAAAAACCTTCTGACTCGGAGCCGAGAGTGTCACTAACCGAGCCAGTTAGGAATTCCTAAATTAAATTAGAAATTCCTAATACTTAGGAAGTAAAGGAAAAGGAGAAAAAGTGGGAAAATTGGATTAAAAGATCATCCCACGTTCAGATGAGACGTTAAACTAAAGTCCCGTCTGCCTGTTCAGGTGGATGTTAAAAATCCCACAGTGCTATTTGAAAAGACAAGGGAGTTTCAATTGGTGTCCTGGCTAACAATCTCCCAAAATAAAAATTGGTCACTCACTCTACGATTGTTTGTCGGACATTGCTGTGTGCAACTGGCTGCTGAGTTTCGCCCACAAAATACACAGCAAATCTACCCTACAGTATGTCCTGTAAAATGCTTATGAGATGTCTCAATGACGTGATAAGGTGCTATATCAAATGCAAGGAATATTATTATTATTAACCATAATCTAATAAATTGGCGGAACAAGCTCAATGGACTGAATCATTGCCTTCTGTTCCTGGATTACTATGATTAGGTTCAAATTTTGTCCATTATTGTAACGTTCGTAAATCCAAAACATAGTTTAGATTCACTAGTTCCTTTATTAAAACCTTACATTTCCACAATCAATCCAGTCACTTTCCCAGAATCGTTTTATACTTGCTTGCTTCTCATTGTCGATGTTCAATTGCCAAGTCATTAAAGCAATATGCAACAATTGCCATATTGGTAAGGTGCAAACACAGAAATGTTCACCACAGATGTCAGTGGCTCATTGTGTCAGTACCACTGATATGTTTAAATCATGGTTGCACCATGTGATAATGATAGAGGGGAACCAAGAAGACAATGTTAGCGAGCAACTTGGGGGAATTAATATTAGTAAAGAAATGGTTTTAGGTAAATTGAAAAGAAAAGTAAATTGTCAGGTCTTAAAACTGATAAATCCCCTGGACCCGATGGCCTACATCCTAGGGTATTAAAAGAGATGGCTACTGCGATAGTGGATGGCTTGTCTTTGATCTTCCAAAATTCTCTGGATTCTGGAACGGTTCCCATTGATTGGAAGATTGCAAATGTAACACCACTATTTAAGAAGGGTGGGAGAGAAAAAATGGGGAACTATAGACCAGTTAGTCTGACATCAGTGGTAGGGAAAATTCTTGAGTCCTTAATTAAAGATGTCATTATGGGATTCCTGGAAGACCATAACAAGATTAGGCAGAGTCAACATGGCTTTACAAAAGGGAAGTCATGCTTAACTAATCTTTCAGAGTTTTTTGAAGATGTATCTAGCAGGTTAGATAGGGGAAACCAGTAGATGTAGTATATTTAGATTTTAAAAAGGCATTTGACAAAGTGCCACACAAAAGGCTATTGCACAAGGTTAAGGTCCACGTGATTAATGGGAACGTATTAGCATGGATTGAAGAGTGGCTAATGGGTAGAAAACAGAGAGTAGGGATAAACGGGTCATTCTCGAATTGGCAGGATGTGACTAGTGGAGTGCCACAAGGATCAGTGCTTGGGCCTCAGCTATTTACAATTTACATCAATGATCTAGACGAGGACATTGAATGTAACGTATCTAAATTCGCGGATGACACTAAACTAAGTGGGAGAGTAAGCTCTGAGGATGATGCAAAAAGATTGCAACGGGATATAGATAGGCTAGGAGAGTGGGCGAGTAGGTGGCAGATGGAATTTAATGTGGAGAAGTGTGAAGTTATTCACCTAGGTAGCAAAAATAGAAAAACAGATTATTTTCTAGAGGGGGAGAGATTAGATAGTGTTAGTGTTCAGAGGGATTTGGGTGTCCTTGTACACCAGTCTCAAAAAGTTAGTTTGCAGGTGCAGCAAGCAACTAAGAAGGCGAACGGCATGTTAGCGTTCATTGCAAAAGGTTTAGAGTACAAGAGTAGGGAAGTCTTGCTGCAGCTGTATAGAGCCTTGGTGAGACTGCACCGAGAGTATTGTGTGCAGTTTTGGTCTCCTTATTTAAAAAAGGACATACTTGCCCTAGAAGGGGTGCAGCGTAGATTCACTAGGTTAGTTCCTGGGATGAGGGGACTGACTTATGAGGATAGGAATAAACTAGGACTATATTCTCTAGAGTACAGAAGAATTAGGGGAGATCTTATTGAAACATATAAGATTCTTAAAGGGCTGGATAAAGTAGACACTTGTTACCTCCCCTGGTAGGAGAATCTATAACCAGGGGTCACAGTCTTAAAATTAAGGGTCAGCCTTTTAGAACAGAGTTGAGGAAACATTTCTTCACTCAGAAGGCTGTAGGTGCACAGTCCTTGAACATTTTCAAGGCTGAGACTGATAGATTTTTTTAAAAAATAGAGGGATTTGGGAATAGGGCAGGTAATTAGAGTTAGGTCTGAAGATCAGCTATGATCTTATCGAATGGCAGGGCAGGCACGAGGGGCCGAATGGCCTACTCCTGCTTCTAATTTTTATGTTCTTATGTTCTTATAATTAATTGGACAATGCAATTTGCCTTGGCTGAACATACACTCTGTTGAAGACTTCTGGCAGATCAACAGCAAGGAATGGCAAGGAACTATGGATATGAAGTGCTCACCATGGAACTTTGCATACACTTACAGAGCCCTTGTTGAATGTTTCACTCACTGTGTGCCATATGACTAATGATGGCAATTGAAAGAGCAATAGAGACACTCAGCCTGCAGTGTAGAGCACAGACACCGTGTTAGTGCAATATCAGTTTGACCCTTGTTACCTCCTCAAAGTTTAGAAATGACATAAGTGCTTTAAATTGCTCATGTTTTAGTTCCTGATCTTATTTTCCTAAAAATGTCCTAAAAATTCTCAACTTTTAGGAAAGTATTTTCAAGACAGATTTTTACAGCTTTATGGGAGAGAAATGCGTTTACCCTAGTGTCCTGGCTAACAAATCCCCCCCCACCCAAAAACAAACCAATTGGTCATTGACATCATAGCTGTTTGCAAACTGGCTGCCATGTTTGCTCACAAATACAGTCCTGCACTTTACATATATTATATATTCTGTGAAGCACTTTAAAACAACAACAACTTGAATTTACATAGAGCCCTTCGCATCGAACGGAGTCTCGGAGTGGACATATCTTCCTCATGTGAAAGGTGTTATATCAAATGCAAAGATTATTAATGGTATTTCCGATCATCATCAGCATCTTGGGAGGCAAACCCTCTTCCAGTATTTGATCCAGCGGAGTTTTCCCTGAAATTCACTTGGTTCTGTATTTCAAAGATATTTTGTTACTTTTAAGAAAGCTGTAATATTTCTGATTATTACTTTTTAACTAATTGTATCTAATGCTAATTACTCGGTACACAAAATCTGTCGAGTTGTAGGGTGTAAAACCATTTTGATGTAATGAAGCACTTTAGATGTTTTGATAAGGCACTATACCAAATACAATAATTATTATTACAATAAGAAAAATCCTTGCATTTAATATAGCGCCTTATCATGTCTTCAAAATGTCTCAAAACGCTTTGCAGAATATACTGTAAAGCGAATTGACTGTATATTTGTGGGCAAAACACGGCAGTGAATTGTGCACAGCAGTGTCCCACAAACAGTCGTGGATTGAGTGACCAAATAATAATCATAATAATTTTTGTGAATATTAATATTACTTGTCCAACTTGGAATCCTTCCTAAGCAATCATGTTAAGAAGTATTGAAAATTGTCCCCCACTATTATTAGCCACAAAACATACAGTCACTGCACAATCTATCTTGGAAAGCGCTTTGAGACATTCGACTGATATGAAATGGTATATCAAATACAAGGATTATTATGAGAATACCATTACTATGCATGTTGAAGAATAATGATGGATATACTTTATGAAAAAAACATAAAATTTCACTTCCATAGAAATTATTGGAATGTAGAAAATGGAAATATTGGTCTCAATATTATAGTAATGATGTGAAGATTTACCATAAACAATTTTCTTTCCTAGCTATTCAGTGACTGTGCAAGAATCCTACGCTCATCCTTATGATCAAGTGTATTATACCAGTTGCACTGACATATTAAACTGGTTCAAGTGCACAAGACACAGGTAAGACACAATCCTTGATATAAAGTGAACCCTTTTGGATGATCAAGAAAGAAAATATTTTTGACTGTGCAGATATATTTGTGTCCACGGGTTTCCATTATATTCCACCTATTGGATATGATTTCCTAATTAGTGAGGGAATGTTTTCTGAAAGATTTTTCAAGCCTGCATTTTCTTAGGATAACCAAATTGATCGAAACACAACAAAGATGTGCCTAATTTCCCTTCCCAATGAGGGACCATTGGTGGTCGGGCCTTCAGCCTCTCAGCCCCGAGGCTCTGGAACTCTATCCCCCAGTGCCTTCGCCGCCTCCTCCCTCTCCTCCTTCAAGGCCGGTCTCAAAACCTTTCTCTTTGACCGAGCCTTCAGCTCCCCTCTCGACTCTCTTCCCCTTCTCGCTCCCTTCCATCCCTTCCCTCACCCTGACCATTTCCCCCCTCCTCGCTCCCTCCCCTCCCTGACCATTTCCCCCCTGCTCGGGTCATGACCCAACTGTGCAGCGCCTTGGGACGTCCTCCTGACGTGAAAGGCGCTTTATAAATGGAATCTTGTTGTTGTTGTTGTTGTTGTTGAGTTAGGTGCTAAGAGTCTACTCCACCTTGTAGACTGATTGGTTCAGTCAAACTACACACAGTGGAGCCAGATTCATATTCTATAAAATCATTTAATTTGGAGCCCGTGATGTTTTTTTCAAGAATCGGACTCAACTCTTGCTTTAAGCCCTCTACTTTCACACAAACATCGAGGGTAGTGTTTATCTGTCTCATTGAAGTAAAATTACCGTTTAATTTATTTTATTATTCATGGGACATTAATTGTCAAAAAGTTCCAAGCGCCAATCTATCAATACCATGAAAAACATATCGGTTATACAGTACTTGAATAGTCAGTCTCCTCCACAGTGTATGTGTCAGCCTGGCTCAGTTGGTAACACTCTCACCTCTGAGTCAGAAGGTTGTGAGATCCAGCACCACATTGGGACAAGGAACCCCTATGCTGACACTCTAATACAATGCTGTATTGTTGGAGGTTCTGACTTTTTGGATCAGATGTTAAACTGAGATCCCACCTAGTTGTCCAGATGGACATTAAAGATCTCATGGCACTATTTGAAAAGAAAAGGGATTTTTTTCCAGTGTGCTGGCCAACACTACCCCAAATAAAATTGGTCACTCACTCCATAGCTGTTTGTGGGACATTGCTGTGTGCAAATTGGCTGCTGCATTCGCCCACACAATCATACCAATTTAACAACAACAAGATTACATTTGTATAGTGCCTTTCACGTCGGGAGGACGTCCCAAGGTGCTGATTTACAGTATATGAAGCTCTTTGAGATATCTCAACATGATAAAAGTGCTGTATCAAATGCAAACATTATTATTTTATTATGAGATCGACATTATAAATATTGGAATATTTGAAATGAAAGTTATATGAGGCATTGATCACTTTTGAGCAGCCGAAGATATTCCTGTAACAACAACAAAATTCCATTTGGATAGCGCCCTTCATGTCGGGGGGATGTCCAAAGGCGCTGGACAGTCAATGTTTAGGAACCGAACTGGGTGTCAGGATCGGGGAGTTGGAGGGCAGGGGGGAAGGAGGGTGATCAGTCGACGAGGAGGGTCTTGACATGGGTCTTGAAGGAGGCAAGGGAGGGGGTAAGGTGGAAGGACTGCGTGATGGAGTTCCAGAGAGTGGGAGTAGAGTGGCTGAAGAACTGCCCGTCAATGGTGGGGTGGGCAAGGTGGGGGACGTGAAGCAGGCCACAGCCCGCTGAGCGGAGGGATAGGGCAAGTTGATAGGGTCACGGAGACTAGTGCAGGAGAGGACACGGGCGGCAGAGTTCTGGATGATCTGCAGCCTATGGAGGGAGGAGTAGGACACACAAGGGAAGATCATAGCATTCTGATAATTCAATTGTTGACAGTCATTTTGGCCCTTGTTATATAGTTTAGTTGTTCACTAACAAAATGCACAGTCATTCTACTTTACAGTATATCTTGTGAAGTGCTTTGGGATATCCACCTGACATGAAAGGCATTATTATTAGATGAAAACATGTGGTGGCCACTGATGAGACAATTGTAATTTTGTAGCACTCATTTTACCTTTCGCACTGCTTCACAATATCAATTACAACTTTGCCTCTGTTTTTTCAGAATAAGTTACCGAACAGCTTACAGACGTGGTGAGAAAACAATGTACCGACGTCGTTCCCAGTGCTGCCCAGGATTTTATGAAAGCCGAGAGCTATGCGTCCGTAAGTGCTATGTTCATTTGGAAAACAGTTTGCTTTCAGTTGAAAGAAGCACTAATGCAATGTCAGACGTTTAATTCCACCTAATTATTGAGGAAAACGTACAGGGGCAATTCTCTGATTAGATCAGAGGGTGTGGTGTGAGCTTGCCATAGAAAAATCCCATTATATACGTATCAAGGTTGGTGAGTTTACTGAACGGTCAAGAATAAGATTTGTGGGTCTGCCAAAGTCAGAAAGGAATTGTCCACCATTGGAGAATAACCCATCTTTGCATAATACAATACAAGTTTACATTTAAAGATCACCTTTCAAGTCGTAAGCTGCTTAACAATACTCGGTAGGCACCCGAGCTGGGGTTAGAACCTATGAGGGTGGGGAGAGGAAAGAGGACCGAAAAAGAGTGGTCAAAGAGAATATCTTGAGATGAACCTTGAATGAAATGAGGGAGAGAGCGAGTCGAAGGATTTTGCGATGGAGTTTTTTTTTAACATCACTGTAGTTAGTAATGGTAACAAAACAGAATGATTACATTTTAAAACTTTTATTTGTTTCATTTTAAATCTTTCCCCCACGTTAGGGGATTTTATTTATTGACTATAGATCTTCCAAAACCATGTGTTGTGGATATATATATATGCAAATATGGTTCTGTCCCCAAATCCAGGTTAAGTTTGAAATCCAAAACTTGCACTGAACGCCATACACCCAGTCCTCCCCAGACTCCATTGGCTCACTGATTTCTAGTAGATCATTTTCAGGGTCCTCACTCTCACCTATAAATCCTTCATCCCCTACCAATTCGTTATCTCTCCATTTTTCTCTTATCCCACTCCTCACATGTCTCCTCTGCCCAGCAAGCTCTGGCTTGCTCCATGTCCCATGCCCTCTCTGCATCACCATCTGTGGCCGTGCCTTCAGATTCTATGCTGCTAACCTCTGGCACTCCCTCCCTCTACACCTTTATCTTGCCAACCCCCTGCCTTCAAATCCTACCTTAAATCCTAGTTCTTTGAATGCGTCTATAACAACAACAACAAAATTACATTTGTATAGAGGCTTTCATGTCGGGAGGACATCCCGAGGTGCTGGATAGTCAGTGTTTAGGACCTGAGCGGGGGTTGTGATTGGGGAGAGTTGAGGCCAGGGGGGAAGGAGGGTGATCGAAAGCACAGTTGAAGAGAAGGGTCTTGAGATGGGTCTTGAAGGAGGCAAGGGAGGGGGCGAGGCAGAGGGACTGCGGGATGGAGTTCCAGAGGGTGAGAGCAGAATGGCAGAAGGCTTGCCCACCAATGGTGGGGCGAGCGAGGTGGGGGACGTGAAGCAGGCCAGAGCCCGGTGAGTGGAAGGAGCGGACAGGATGGTAGGGGGTTAGGAGGTTGCAGAGGTAGGGGGAAGCAAGGCCATGGAGGGCTTTGAAGGTGAAGACCAGGATCTTGAACTGTATCCTCTGTGTAATGGGAAGCCAGTGGAGTTGGCGAGGATGGGGGTGATAGGGTCATGGAGCCTGGTGTGGGAGAGGATACGGGCTGCAGAGATCTGGATGATCTGCAGCCTATGGAGGGAGGAGTTGGGGAGGCCGACAAGCAGGGAGTTTGCACAGTCGAGCCTGGATGTTATGAATGTGTGTGTGATGGTTTTGGCGGCCTGTGATGTGAGACAGTGGCAGAGCTGGGTGATGTTGCAGAGTTGGGGGAAGGCAGAGAGGGTCATGGCACGGATGTAGGGTAGAAAGGATAGTTGAGGGTCAAACAAGATGCCAAGGTTCGGACTGGCTTATTAAGGTGAAGTGTGCATCCATGGTATAACCTCCGCCTCCTCCTTCCCCCTACCCCTCTCTCACCTCCCTTGCTCAGCGTCCCATCTTTGTGAAGTTCTCTGAGACGTAAATAGTGCTGTATAAATGCAAGTCATTGTTGTTGAAATATATTGTTCAAAACCTCTCTGTGGTTACGTTCTTTGGTATATGTTCCTCTGCCAGTTTACATTGAGTTATTTTTAACATTGAGTTCTCTTGCTCTTCCAAGCATATTTATTCTTTCGAATCATAGCTTGTGTCAATCATAATAGTTTTGAATAACAATGCGCTATATGCTTGGGGAGTGCTGTAGTCTTCCGAAGATGTATCCTGACCAGATTAAATCTGTAGTGGGGTCTTTTTGTGAACAAAGATCTATTAAAGTCAGAACATGTGGATAAGGTGTGTCCTGGATCAGTTGGTAGTTTCTGAGTCAGTTTGTGAGTTCAAGCACCAAATTGAGACTTTAAGCATAGTTAGGCTGATGCTCCAGTGCATTGCTGTGGGGATGATGCTTTTACAGAAATGTTGTCCTTTGGATGAGATGTTAGACTGAAGTCTATTTTGCCTGTTCAGGTAGATGTTCAACATCCCATGATACCATTCAAGATGAGAGTTTCGCCTGGTGTCCTGGCCAAAAATTTCCCCAGATAAAATTTGTCATTTATTTCATTACTTCTGGCATTACTTCATTATATGCTGTGTACATATTAACTTTTCTGTGGTTAAGCTCTTTGGTATAATGGCTTTCTCTGCCAGTGTGATTTTTACATTGAGTTTTCTTGCTGTACTTAATACAGTCACTACACTTTACAGTAAATCCTATGAAGCACTTTGAGATCCTTCCAACATAAAAATTGTTTTATTGAATGCAAGGATTATAATTATTATTTTAATGAGTTTAGCTTTATTATTTGGAGAGCACAGAACACACAATATTACAAAGTGCAATTGTGTTTTCCAGGGTTACTCACTCAATAACAGGAACAACTGGTTCAGATGTAGTTTTATTATTATTTTTAATGTTAAGATCTCAACATTTTTGGATAATATTTCATCTTAGAAACCCTCTGCTACACTTTGTTTCTTTGCTCATTGTTTAGCTAAGTAATGAGGTGCAGCAAAAATAGCATGAAAGTCAATGACATGTTGCATGGCACATTTTGTTCTGACAAAGCTTCAGTTGTGTGAATCTTCAAAAATGTGCCAAGAGCTTTAGCCAAGCTAATCAATATGGAAGAAGGTATATTTTGTCTGCAAGGAATTGATTTGCTTGGGAAAAAAGGAAACAGTATTGATCTTTGAATAACAGGAACAAAATAATCATTGATTTTAACTAGCAAATCCACCATCCAATAAGATGAGTAAATCAGACTGTTTTGATCCTGCTTGAGGAATGCTATATAAATACAAGCTGTTATTGTTGTTTATGTGTAATTCACATGAAAAGGAAAATAAGTTTGAAGCAGCTATTAAGAAAATTAACGATTGTCAAATTCGGTCAAAGTAATGACTAACCGAGAAGGAAATTGAAAATTCGCTTGTCTGTGGTCGAATACCCTTTATTTGACACATGAAGTAGTCTGACCAATGGAGCAAAGAAACTGAACGTGTGTGTGTTTGGTTTCAGATAAAGCTGATGTACATTGAACCCCAAATCAAGCACTGTGATGTTGGGATCTAACCCTAACGTGTGTTATTTGCAAAATGGCTAATTGCATTCTCTGAAAGCAAATAATAATGTTGGATTGATATAAAATTGAAATACTTTTAACCCACAGATCAAATGTTGGGATCCCAAATGCATTGTTTCCAAAATAACACGTTGCAATTTCTGAAAATCACCACAATAATAATCCTTGCATTTGATATTGTGCTTATCACTTCTTCAGATGTCTCAAAGCACTTCAGAATATATTGTAAAGTGAATTGACTGTATATTTTGTGGGCAAAACGCAGCAGCCAATTACACATAACAGTGTCCCACAAACAGTCGTGGGTTGAAGTGACTATAGTTATTTTTTTTGAAGGAATTATTGCCCCAGAAAAGCGATCTATCAATCGACTAACAATTAGGTTCCTATTTACTGCTACGTGAACAGAGCCGTGTGGAGTAAGGAAACTTGCCCAACATTTCACCCTGTTAGGAATCAAACCCAGGTCTCTTGCTTGCGAGGCGAGTGCTCTAACCACCGAACTACAGAGCTTCATTCCAATGCCAGAGACTACAGAGCAAATGGCATTTTATTCCCCAGTTTTCTCTCCACTTTGGCAATGATTGAAGCTTTTAGAAAATGCAATTTGCCATTTTACAAATAACGCCAATTAGTCAGGAGAATGGAAGTCTCAATTTCCACTTCCCATCCCCTTCTGCAAATATTACAAATTAGATCTCATTGCGTTAATAAATGATAAATCACATTTTGTATTAAACTCGGTTTTGAATTTTTGCGTTTTTAATAGAAAAATAGCCTCTTTCCTCCAACACTTTATTTGTTCAAGTTAATGAAGGTTCTCTCAGGAACATTATGGTTATAGCTCAGTTTGCACATGGATAAGATCTTATATATTAAAGGTCACTGCAAAGCGTACAAAGTCATCTGTTTAATCAAAACTAAATCAATATAGATGCTGATTATTTTCTATCAGACTCAACAATGAATTAATTGAAAATTGAAGTACTTCTGACTGGATGAGCGGGCAGTCAGTTCCCCCAGTCAATTCATTTATTCAGCTCTACAGCTCCTCTGTGATACTTTTGAATGCTTGTTCATTTTCTAATGGGAACAATTTCAAACTGCTGCTTGCTGCTCTTTCTATAATAGTAGAAATATGCTGCAGAGTGATGTTATGCAAGCATTTTGTTTCAAGCTTCATCATGAAGGGCTTTTGCCTTTTGCAGGCTAGGTTTCACATTAATTTGCAGCGTGAAATTTGCAGAACAGTGTGTGCATTGTTTTTCTCTGGTGTAATACGTATTAGCAAAAGTACAGTAGATGTACAAAGTGATTATGACATGTGACACTGACCATATCATTCGATTTTTCTGGTTTCTGATTATAGATGACATTTTAACGATTTCTTGTGGCAATATAATTATGAAACTGGCTGCAATAAAAAAGTTTTAAAGATTGAATGTTACTATCCAGTTCAATGATTCTCAGTATTGTTGGTTATTTACCCCTTCTTAAAACAACAACAACTT